ACTTTTAACTGCAACAAACTTTACACACTTTAAAAGGGTTCCGGTCCAAAAAGACACCCTGTTTTAGACGCTAAATAACTATTATATTGAAATCGTACACCCAGAAATAAATAAGACTGAAGACTGCGAAAACCATACCCTGTTCAGCAGCTCATACCCCTTTGCCTTAGGGCTTTTGTCCTGCAACCAAAGAGATCAGTGGCATACCTGTTTGCCTTGGGATCTTTGTCCTCCTCCCTCCCTAAACTCTTCTCTGCTGACAAAGAACATCCTAGAACATTCTGGTATTAAATTTTACACCTTTTTAAAAGCACCTTTGATTTTGATCAGGATTTGACTGTCCAGTTAGACTATATTTTGTTATGTTTGGTCATAAGTAATGTATGCTGTGTCATGTTTAGTTCAACCACAGGGCACCCACATGTGTAATGGTGTAATATAAATGTGTATGCGTAACCATCTGTAATTTTATAGTCAAAAGTGACATTTTTAGCAATTATGAAGTATTTATAGATATGGACATTTTTCCACTGTAACAACCCAAAGAGTCAGGTCCCATTCACTTCCCAACCAGATTTTCCCGAAAGTTTTTGTAAATAGGAAACAACCAGTGAAACCTGTTTCGGGCAGATATCCATAGGACCCTGCTCGCTAGTGTCCACTAAATAGAGGTGACCATTTAATACAGGTTAGTTATACTTAAAACATGGGAACTTAAGAAATGTTTTAAACATTTTTAGCTATACAGGTTGTCTGCTAAAAACAATTACAAAGGTTCACATAAGTATACCTTGGGCTCCCAATGTTGCTGGAGATTTCCTCTCAATAAGAAAGTTACAGTAAGCTCTCCACAACCACTGATAAGACCATCATCTAAAATAGTCCTTTCCACATTCAATATAACAAAAAAATATATTTCTAATGATGAAAGTGATAAAAACTGACAGACTGCAGTATTGAAACACTACAGTGAGGTCTTTTCACAAGCTTGCAGAGTTAATTGAAAGTTGTGGAAAGGTGGCTGACAGTAATGGCTAGAGGTTCAACTGTATTGTTATAAATGCGACGATCAATGTTGAAATATATGTTAGAAATAAAAATAAGTATGTTAAATTAATGGTGACAAATGAAATTAAGGAATAATCTCAACACGCTTTTTGTCCGAATTCCAATAATTTCCACAACCTTCAGACAAGGGAGATTATCAGAATTTGGACAAAACAAAAGCAAAATTATTCCTTAATTGCACCAGTATACCATTTGATTAAGATATTAAAAACACATGATTATACCAAATAATGACACAATTAAAGTCGAAGATATTTTATGCATGATTTGCAGATGAGACATCAAGGGATGTGTTCTAATAGACATCGAAAGTCTCAGACAGGCAAAATGTAAATTAAGATTACAAATAAAAGGGTGCGTTATTGAATTTTAGAACAATGAGATCCTACTTGCAGCGAATTTCATAATTTACTCATGCATGCATTTGTTGCTTGGAGAGTTTTCACTTTCACCACCATAGGTTAAATTCTCATAAGCTCCCCCCCCCC